AATGATGCTGCTTACACAGGCAAAGTTGCTATACAGTTAGTTGGAGTTCTCTTTGCTACGCCAGAAAGAGCACACAGTCCACAGGGCAGAGAAGGCCAGTCTCGCATTCAGATTTTTCTCTCTCTTTTGAACACTGCGTTGCTGCTAGGACCATTTTGCTCTGCATTAGAGATAACCGTTCTAAAAAATATGGAAGTCTAAAAGAATCTAAGATGTTAGTTTCAGTATGCAAACTCTTGGATGCTTTGGTTCTTGAATCTTCAGAATAAAAAAATGAATAACTGCAAACTATATCTTGCTCCTCATTTTGTCCTAACACTAATTGGTATGTACTCACGAGCCAGGAGTAAATACAAATGTAGCCAAAATGGTTCCAACCACCTTAACGTTGGATGAAGCGGGGTTGAGGTTGGAGCGGTTTTGCCATGTTTGTATCATTCCCAGCTTGTGCGCACACAGCAATTGGAACATACCAGCTACTGCCCTTTTGAAACATTCCTGTTTGGAAATGGATCCAAGTGTATGTGTCCATCCCCCTGAAATGAACCGAAGCTCTTGTATCTGAAAACATTTTTTTTTTTTAAACATTTTTTGTGATGTTGATCTTGTTTATTTGATTCAGCGAGCTTTGTCTGAAACTATCTTCATGTTCTCTCTGGTCTCTCCAAAATATTAAATTGCTTTTTTGTGCTTCAAAACAAAGTTAACTTCTAGTCAGTTGGTTAGCTCTCTTTATAAGATTCTCACCATGATTGCATGCAAGTGCCTAAAATCTCTTTTTAAATCAAAACAAATGAGTTGCCAAAATAGGCAGCTCACTAACACCATGTGTTAGTTGTATCTTGTAGCCCAGTAACAGATTAATGAATAAATTTAAGTAAGGGAGCTTCACGCAGTTTTCATGTCTATGGTACATGTACAGTTACTGAAGCCTTGTTCCATTGTGGCTGGCCAAGCTGTCAAAGTTGGAAAAGAGATTAAACACTGCTCTTCAGCTCCAGCATCAATGGGGGCCTGAATAAGGGCAGCTGCTACTAGACAGCATGGTCTAGAGGAGCACAGGTGGTATTGGGTTTAGCAGTTTTTACGGTGGAACACCATGGCAATTGCTGCTGCTTCCAAAATGGAGTGCTTGTTCAGGATTTTTAGATTTATCTTGTTAGTGATGGGTTTCTGGAAAAAAAAAATGTATTCAACTGCTGAGGTGCACCTGGCAAAATGTTACCTGCCTCTAAATTGTTCCACTGTCATCCCTGAAACGTAGACTGCATTGCCCTGAAATAGTTAAGTTAGGCAGTATTTCATAAATGTCACTTGGACTAATTAAATGGGGACAGTAAAGATCAAATCTGGAGGCGTCTAAATGTGAACCACTTCAGTGAGGAAGCAATTAGTTAAGAAAAATCAAACATCTGCCCCGCATTATTTATCAGTTTCTAAAAATTAATGTAGCTGCTACAAAAAAAAGGCTGGCAGGGACCATTTTAATAGTTATTTCCAATTGTGACCAGGCTTTTAACTAAGTTCTGAAATAATAAAATCTGATTCCTGGAGTAAGATGTTGAGCAAAATACTTGCCCTCTTCTGGTGGCATGCCACAGTAACAGCAATTCTGAGGTGGGGCAGCTGCCCTCAGACCACTTGCAGTGAATCTGCTACTGCAAAATAAATGTTGAGCTCAGTTTGGCATTGGTAGACTGTCTTTTGAATACCAGTGCAGCGGGACATTTCCAGTTCATGAGCTTAACAGGTTGCTGCCACTTCCAGATGGGGAGATTTCACTCCTTTTACTGGAACTTGTTATCCTTGAATGTAGTCTCTGGGGGAGGGATAGACGGCCCCTGGTATTTACTCTTTCCTCCTTAACAAATGCTTTGGCTTGACATTGGGTCAAGCCATGCTGTAAGGTTGACCTCTTCAGATTGTGAATACAGTGGAGGAAGGTATTGGGTTTTCTAGAGGCAGAATTTAACAAGATTGTCTCCTTTGAAATAGATGCCTAGAAAATTTTCTATGCCAGGGCTGAGCTTGGTTCAACAACTGAAGTAGAAAACTGTAGTTAGCTGTTAATGGACTTAATGTCTGTGATATTAATACTGGTAATTTTCCATTAGTCTAACATTTGCTGCTTTTTTAAGGACATTTAGGGCACAGTCTGAAAAAAAATAAAAACTACAACCCTAGGTGGCTAGTTTTCAAGTGATAGTAGCTACAATAGATCACAATCCATGAAGGAATCACCAGAGCTACTTGCTAGAAGACTTAGCAAATGTTAGGAGGTTGTATAGCTGCATCTATCCCAAGCGGTCATACCAGTTTTTAATATTTGTACTTCCTTCTCTTGGGTTAAAAGCTAAGGAGTTACAGAACCAGAGACGGCTTGAAGAGAAAATGAGGTGGGGGGAAGAAACCGGAACGGATATGGCACAATAGAATGCTGTACCATGTTTCAAGGATATTAAAAACAAAACCCTATAGGAACATGTTATGTTTGAACTGGCTCTTAGGTGGTTAGCCGTGTTAATATGAAAGCAGGCATAAGGCAGAGCAGAGTTGCACCTTATAGACTAATTCATAGATGTATAAGCTTTAATAAGGATCAGCTCACTAGGGCTGCTTACAGATGTTAAAACAACAAAAAAACCCCCCTGAAAAGTTCTTCACTTTAAACTCCTCATGCTCCCATGCTGAGCCTGGTGGATGCCCAGAAGAGGCATCGCATTAGTTGGACCTAACTTGCCCAATGTTTATATACACTGGGTGCTTTAGTGGGGCTGTTACCTAATAACTGATTGACTCAGCTTTAGATAAAAGCACCAAAAGGCCCTGCTGAAGTGCTTGATCTATGAAGATGCTGTGGAGCCAGGTCAAAGTAACGTGCTGCTGCTTCCATAAAGTGCAGGATTTTTTGTTGTTTGTTAATGTCTACAAGCAGCCTAAGTGTGGTTTGACTTTGGGAGTGCCACTAAGACACTTCCAACTTAAAGAAACAAACCCACAACGAGAGCATTTCAACAGTACAATCCAACAGAGAGGGTTTGGCATGGCAGGTGAACCCCTGGTGCTTTAGTAGGCTGGACCCAACTCTCAGTTCCTATCACAAGGTAAAAAAAGGAAAATTAAGGGCAAGATTATGTCTCTGATGTTGTGGACAGCTGGGATAGGTAAGGGAGCAGAGCTGGAGGATATTCCCTGTGGTTCCTCCCAGTTGTCCTTCAGCCAAACTATTAATTATCATCACATAGTAGACAGGCAATTTTTCTTCTTATAAAATAACATTTATTACTATTTTAAACAAGTCTCATAAAGTAACATTTAGAAACACAGGCCTAAATTATTTTAATACACAGCCATTATAACAATTTGGTCATGCTATAAAATTACTGTATATAAAAGATTGCCAACAAACTAGGTGTTAAAACTGTTCTCCCATTTGGAGTCTACTCAGAAGTTAAGACTTCCAGTGTAAGATGAGTGGTCCACAAATAGATAGCAAAAACTGCTGTTTTACATAAATTCTCTTCTCTCATTCTTCCAACAGTTTGCAGTGTAATAGCTGCATGTATTGGCTGTTTAGTCCAATACCATGCTGGCAAACAAACACCCATCTATTTGCTATCACTCAATTTTAAGTTAATGCATGTCTATGTGGGAAAAGCAGGGAGAAGTTAACCCACCATATTTCTAGTGAGCAGAGCAGGATTCCACGTGGCTTGAAATTTTATATGGGTGCTCCTTCCATCCAGGAGCAATGGGTGCTAGGTATCATAATGGACAAGGTGAAACATAAAAGATCAAACTGAAAAAGGAAACCCTTCCATCAAATTCACTGCAAGGCAGCTACTCTTTGAAAGTCTAGTTAAAGCTTTTCTATTAGCTTATTTGCAGTGTGGTACAATGATACCACCAAGCAAGGTTAACTGCTATACCTTTGTCATACCATGTACTTTTCACCAACATCCAGTGCATATTTAAAGTGCAAATCTCTAAAAATTTATGACACCCCCTCCCCATTTTATTTTGCAAAGAAAACCAAACACAAGTTTGGTGGCTGGGCTTCTTTTGACTTGTTCATAACAGCAACCATGATTAATAAATCAAGCAGAGCAAGACAGAGCTGGGTTCACCTTGATTTTCATGACAGGAAAGAATCCCACTGTCTGCTTATTCCTTAGCACAGTGTTTCAGGTAAGCCTCATTAGCACTGCTATTATTTCAGGGGTGGGCAAAATGTGGCCCACCAGGCCATTCTATTTGGCCCATGGGGCCCCTAAAAAAAATGTATAAAATTAATATTTATCTGCCCCTGGGTGCCTGTCATGTGGCCCTCTGACTTGACAAAACTCAGCGGCCCTCCAACTGAAATAATTGCCCGACCCTGTATTATTTCAACACTGAATTCATCCAGTCACCCCAAGAAAAGGCTTTGGGAAGGTCACACTGCAAATCCAAGAAGATAGCTGATAACATTGAGACACAAGAACCTACAGTTCTCCTGACTCCTTAATGACTGTTAAGCACCCTTTCTGGAATGTAATGTAGTTAACTGTTAATAGGGGCATCTACATATGCATTTAATCAACTTTGCAGTAAATTAACTCTGCAGTAAAGCATCACCATCTACACAGGGCAGTATTAGGGTGCAGTAAACTAATTAACTCCACCATAAGATAGTACTGTTGGAGACAAAACTATCTTATGACAGAGTAATTAACTGTGATCAAATGCTCGTGTAGATGGTGACCATGGGCAAAAATTGTACCTGGTCAGCCTAGGCAGCAGGGGGCCAAACCTCTGCCTGCTGCCTAGCCACATGGCTCATGTTTGGCACACTCATGCCCCAGCCAGCCCCTCTGCTGCCCGACACTGCCACACACAGCCTGGGGCTGACCCTCCCCCCCGAGCCTGCTGCCAGCCTGAGCCTGCTCTACTCTGGCTCAAAATGCTGCTGTTCAGGGTGCATGTGTAGATGCTGCATTTGGGAGTAGTTCACTCTGGCCTGAACTGCTCCAGAGTTTATTGCATTGTATTAATTGCACATGTAGATGCACTCAATGTATAGAACAATACAGGAGCCATGAATTCCACTTTGTTCTATAAAGCTTACCCTACTCTGTCTCTCAGTACAGCAGTATTAGGCACTAATTCCCACTTCCTATTCTGTTCTCATGGTGTTAGTGACATGATGAAGAATGCCGAGCATTTGAAAGCTTGTCAAGCTTTATCCCAACCATGGAGTTCAATTAAAAAAAAAATCACCCAAAAGAATCCTTGACTCTCACAATATTCTCCTCAAAATTTCTCACTTCAGTCAGAACAGAAGAGCTACCGCATCTGTAGCTACTCGTATATTTGCATACCACATGCAAAATAGGCTGCAGCATTGAAAGGTCTCTCTTACACCCACTCTGCTGTCTCATTTAATCTAATGAAGAGTTAATTAGCTATGATTTAATATAACCAGTGAATTTTTAACTAAAATGACAAAGCAGCAATAGCAGACTACATAAACTATTTTGTGCCCACTATTCTGACTGGCCATATTCTACGGTAACACTATTGCATATTCCTCTCTAAAGGGTGTATTAGAGCTATTTTCAACTATCTGGAGTTGCTGTTTTCCTTTGCTTAACACGCTCCTTCCCACTTTATACATGCTCTCCAATGGGGTGTAGAGGAGATAAAACAGGACTCCAGCATGACACAAGCATGTGATGTGTCAAAGATCGCTGTATGTATGGTGGTGATATGGGGCATTTTTTCACTAAAAGTACAACTAGCAAAAGTGAGCATCTGCTGTGCGCCCAGGAGCTATCCAAGATGAAAGCTGTGGGCAGTACTCTGAAGTAATTGCATAAGCTACAGTTACCACTGGCCCTACTGTAACTAACTGATATAGCAGGTATCCCACATGCCCAGAGAATCACAATATGTGTAACTTTGGAAAACCTTCATACCAAGACTTAGGGAATCCAGTTCAGAAAATAATGCAGATGGCAGGCCAGGGTGGCACCTTGGAGAATAACTTGTTCAGAAAGGCTTTTGTAGTCAGCACCCTACTTAATCAGGTGCTACGAATAGATTTGTTAGGGAACACAGGGGTACTAACTAAATAGAAAGGAATAAGACATTTAAACATAAAGGGTAGGGAAAGGGGGAGGAAAGGATAGGGAAAGTTTATTGCCAACGGAGGCAAAGGTGGATTGAAGAGATCAAAATAAAATGAAGCAGTTAACCCACAGATGAGTGTAACAGTCACAAAACCTAGTCCAGATAATGGGATAAGACTCCAGAGTCTCTGCTGAGACCGTGCTTAACACAATCTAGGCTGCAGATGATTTCTGGTTTTGCAGTTGCCCACCCTGACCTGCCTTCTGCTTGACTTAAGACTAATGTAGTTAACAACCTCTCTCATTAGTAAATAAGGAGTAGACCAATTTTGTAAATAGTTCATCCTTGCTGCCCTTAGAAGACGAGTTTGGTAATTCTCCCCCACACTCAATAGTGGTCTGTAAACTACAGGAGGAGGGATTGTACCTACTTGGCAATTCCTCCATTTACAAGCATTCAGAAGTGAAGTTCTGGTTCCACTCAGGCTTTTGCTTGCACTACACACTGGCATTTTCCATACAGCATTCAAAAGGCACAAGCCTAGCCCACTTCCCTAGTGAAGAAGACATCCAATCAAGTGCAATGGGGGCTTCAAACATCCATAATACCGTTCACTATCCTTTGCTAACTAAGCAAACAAATCTGGTGCTCCAGTGTTGAAGTGATGAGCCTGGTGACCACCTATCTGTATAGCTCCCACCATGACCAATCACACTTTCTATAATCAACGGAATCTCAATAAAGCCAGGAGACTATTCCTAGAAAAGTACTTTCAAACAGCAAGCTGAGTACCAGACAGCCAGCCAGGCCCCTGGAATAGCAGACACTAGAGAGAGAGGAGAAGCAGAATGCATCCAGGTCAACAGCGACTGCCTGGGTGAAATATATCAAAAGCAGAAAGTGCTCTGCAACTGTTTGTCAAAAAGGAACAACAGAAATTATATTTGACTCTTACCTGCCATGGACACTTTATCAGCAAGAAAGTCATAACTTCCTGTAGAAAGGTGCAGAGTAACTATAAACAAAGTTAATTAACACTGAGTGCTGCTTTTAGTCTTTAACTTCACACTGTTCATTTGCAGATTGATTATCAAAGTTGGGATTCTTTTCTACCAAAATTAGACTTAGGGAAATTAAGGATGCTATTTGTAAAACCAGAAGCTGCATAATACTTGTCTGGGGCCAACTGCATCATGGTTCTCATCTTTGCCCTTGTGTTCAAAAACTTAGCCACTGCCACAACTTCAGAAGTACGAGGCAAAGTAAGAGTGGGGATGTGCTTGCTTTCTTCCCTCACGGTTTGTTCCTGATTGAGCAATGTGCTTGTTGTTACCATTATAATTTAAAATTAAACCAAAAGAGCATCAGGAATCGAAAAAACCCCCCCTAGAAGTTAAAAAACCTGAGTTGGAAAAACCTGTATGACATTTTACCGATTCTTAAGAAGGGAGAAATCTGCAATGACCCATACAGTATATTTAAGTGCTTTTTCTAATCGCTACTTCACACTTTTCATTGAAAAGAATTTTATAACAATCGGCGGGTTTCACCTAAAATGAACCCCTATGTCAGGGGGACATATTGCTTCCCATAAATATTTACTTTCCTGTTCCTATTTCCAAACTCCTTTCTTCTCCTCTACCAGCTACATGCACGTTTAATTCCGCTGCCTATATCTGTGCTTTTGAAACGTGAGTATCCTCAAATCAAAGCTTATGAAAGGTATTCTCAAGCCCCAGTCTTCTGTTTGTTTGTTTCTGGCAAGGTGTCAACCTCCTTAATTTACTGCAAGATTCTAGAGCTGTGAAGGACTGCATCCATTAGCCTGCGAAAAAGGCATGTTCTGGCTAATATCACAAGCCACTTAGGGCTAGTATGTCTATGGATTCAATCCTAAAGCATCTACTTTTTATTTAATGTAAAGAAAAAACAATAGGTAATTTAACTCCGCTGGAAGCCATGTAAAGAATTTCCATTTCTTCATTTAAAATAAATAAATATATAAAAATATTTGCAGCCTTCTGGGTTATGATGTTGAGAGGCTAACGTATCTTGGAACAGCCAATTATGGGCCCATGACTGATGGCACAAGGTTGTTAGCAACACCTTTTTAAGGCATAAGCCCATGACAAATATTAGGTCTGTTTGGCTACAGATAATTGGCATAATAGTTGAAGGAGCAGAAAAGGCAGCCTCACATATATTTAAAGTGTTCCAATCCTTGTGAGAGCATAGCGTATAAAGAGGTTTTACACAAAACACTGCTGTTTTGGCCTTTGTGTTTTAAATGTTAATGTCAGCTGGACAAAGTTGACAAGCAAAATTGTTTTACTGTTACCCAAGACTGATCTACAAGCAGCACTATTCAGGGATAAAAAATTGTATCTGTCGTTTAGGTAAAGGCCTCTAATTAATCAAACAGCAGGCAACCTCAATTCAATAATTCCTAAACCAGGGAACAAAATGCACAAAAGGTGGCATCCCCTGGTTTTGGTAAGTAACTCTTTGGGTGAGACAAGAGTGTGGACATGAGCTAATTTTAAAATGTTGCCTGAACATTTTCAAAACAAACGTTTATACAAAAGCTTTGTATACTGAATTGTTCCAGAGCTTCTTAAATAATTTAATGCCAAACAAGAAATAGTTGTGTTAGTTCTCTCCTTCTTCACCTTCTTCTTGTTTAATAACTGGGATACCTGGAGAGAAAAAAAAGAGAGCAAGAGAAGTTCTACTAGGAATCACTGACAGACTCATATACAGAAGTCTGATGGCAACTTACTAGCCAGCTAGGACAGGTGAAGAGAAGCAAGAGATTAGGTACTGAAGTCTACCCTTTAGGTATGACTGACAGTCTCAGAACAACAGCTCAGCTGCCACAAAATCATATGCTCCTAAAGTTCCTGTCATTCCACATCTGCACATTTGCCTAATCTTCTCTTCAATCATTCTGGCTCTGAGTTCCTGTTCTCTCCAACCATTTGCCTAAATCATCCTCTCCTCTTCCCACTCCATGCACTCTTCTCCCTCATCCCTTATTACCCAAACCGCCCACAAAGGACTTCCAGAATTTTAGTCAATAAAAAGGGAGTTCATAGAATCATAGAAATTAAGGGCTGAAAGGGACCTCAAAAGATCATCAAGTCCAACCCCCGGCTCTGGGCAAGAATACTGCTGAGTTCTTTCATTTCTCCTTTACGGCAAATCTAAATGCTTTAAGAAGTACCAAAAAAGGTTTATAATCTTACAATATTAATGTAAAAGAATGTTTTTACACAAAATATTTAAAAATAATTTCCTATTTTACCTGCTGAGACAGTTTGGGAATTCTGTGTTAATCCTGCAAGTAATCACATCCCTGTTTCTGGAAGCAGAATACAAAATGCCTGTTCTTTCCAGGATTAAGATTTGTCCACACCACCAATTACTAGTAAGGAAACCCTGAGTCCTGAACTTTGAGTCCTGAACCCTGAGTTCCTAAGCATGTTTCAGTTTAAGCAGTCTGAACAAGATAACTTGAAGGCATGCTAGGTAGTATGTGAAGATCATATTGAAGCAAGACCCTCTCAACAGTTACAGTGAACTGGGACCAGGAGTACATCAAATGTTTAGGACAGAGATTCTTTTAATTAACTTATTTTGAGGGCTGAAACTAACTAAGGAGTTCCACAGAATCCACTTTTTCCAACTCTCCAAAATACCTAAATCTGTACAGGAAAAGGTGAGGCCTTGGCTGGCTAATTTATCTAGCTTAGAAGAGAATGTGGTTTGAGAGTAACAACTAAAAGGCAAAATAAAAGGTATTGCCCCAAGATCCCACAGCTGGACTGGTTAGGTGCTAATCCACTCTCCTAGTGTTTACAGTAGATTAAGCTAATAAACTTTCTTACTAACTGCCCACTTGCTACCCAAAGCTCACCATCTAGTTTTTTCAGCCTAGGCACTCGCTTAGTGGCTTCCTCAACCCAGTTGCTCTGCTGGTCAGCGGAGTACTTCTCTTCTAGTGGATTGCCAACAAACACCAGATCTTCCAGTAATGGCAAGTCTGCCAGTCTCACAAACTCTGCTGCAGCCACAAAAGAAGAAGTAAAAAATTGACTGTGGAACATGAAAACACATCTGCACCAAGGCTGTTTTATGAAATCAGCAAAGATGCAAACAGCTTGTTTTGGGCGGGGGGGAAGCAAGCATTGTCACAAGGATGAAGAATGGAAGTTCTCACTTTATAAAAAAAATGGGAGAAAGACAATTTAAAGAATAAACCCCACTTGACTTAGAAACTGAATACACAGAGTTCAAAAATATTGAGAAAATCTCTTGCACAAACAGGTATCTAGAGAATGTGTTCACTGATAGAAGGTACAATGCTATCAGCCGTACCATGACTCAAACTGACTCACTGGGTGCACATTCACTATATACAGTAACAAATTGCAGAGCAGAAACCATGAGTCCTGACTCACCCCAATCTTTCACCAAATTATTGGACATGTATAGAATCTTCAACTTCTTCATGACATGGATCCCTTTCAGCTTCTCAATAAAGTTATATGAGATCCACAGCTCCTCTAATGTATCCCCAACTGCTTCCTGAAAAAATTAAAACACTTCTAAGATAAATCTTCTCATAGTTCTCGGCTTCCTACTTCACCCTTGTCTCACAAAAAAGAGCCACATCCTTCCATATTCTTTGCTTTTTCCTAATTCTGGATGACAAACACCCAAGCAAGTTCAAACCCAAAATTTCTGAAGCAAGTCTCCTGGGCTATTGGGGGGGGGGAATCAAGACTCCAGTAAAATATAGTGGGCAGGTCTACACATGCGCTTCAACATGCCATGGACTATTTTACTGAGCATTTTAAAGCATTATGTAAAAAACCATGACTTTATGCTAATACTCAGTAAAACAGTCTACTGTTCATTAAGTGTCACTGAAAAAACATGCAAATGCCTACTGCACATTAGTGCAGCCTAATGTGCATCAATTTAGTATCTCATATTGGCAGTACTAAATATACATTAGAAAAGGTGCATTAATGTATGTGTAGATGCTCCCACTGAATGTCTAAGCAGAGCAGATGATCTACTCGAGTCCTATGGATAGAGAGGACTGGATTTAGCTGTATGCAGACAGTTCTATGGTGCTGATGACTACAGTTCACCACCAACGTTAGAAAGCTTTGTTTATGAGGAACTGCCTCAAACAAGTGCATATTTGGAACTAAAGGGTTAACACTGTACTTCCTGTCCTCAGCAATTCTCCAACAAGACATGACTCTCAAAGAAGAATAATAGTCATCTTGGTACATTCACTCTTGTACAAGATGGTGACCTTGGCTTTGAGCTAGGCAACTGTCTTAAAAAGTTGTATCCTGCAAGCAGGAATGCAGACTCCCTTGACGAAGAACAAAATGCTTCTTTTTATTTCTTTGCTTTAAATCATTCAGTTCATAAGAATGTGTCCTGTTCTCATCAAACATAGCAAAATTAATCCTATTCCATTTCCTCTCCTCTAGATTGTTGCCTTACTTTCTATACTGACTCCCATCCCTGACTTTCCACCAATGTCTGTCCCAGGCCTTTTATCCTGTTGTTAAGAGTGCCAATGATCTCCAGGAGGTGTAGTGACTCATAATGTGGGTTCAAAGGCTGACCAATACCTGCAGTATTGAAACACAATCTATAAACATCTTCTGGAAGGAGGAAGATTCATTTAAGCAAAGCCATCAGAAACTGTTATTCAGATACTATCGTGGGAGTTTATGGCACATTGGAGCTTATGATGCTTTGCAGATACAGGAAATGCAAGTTTTTACTTGCAGATCTTTCAAGTCAATAGCCCAAAATTGCAACTCCTATGCATGTAGAATCTCCACTGAAAATAGTGGACGTTCAGTGTGTAAACAATCAAATTCCACATTAGAAAATGCAACGCAACAAAGGGAGTCTGCAAAAGTGGACTGGTTGGGAGAATTAGGGTAGCAGACAATGTACATTTCAAAGGAAAAGTGTGTTTGTCTTTATTAGGATTATTGGTATTGCAATATGTTTTTATGTGGCAGATTAGCATTGAGAGTCTACACCAGTGTTTTAAGGTCAGATTTGATGTGAATATAGTTGTCCAGTACAAAATAAAATGGGAGATTATTCTGAGCTTCAAAAGAACCTGTAGGAGGTCATGAAGATGGGAAACAAAAGGAATGGTCAGACAGTAAAATTGAGGTGAATGATGATGAGAGAGGTGCGAGAAAAGGGAACTCACCTATGCTTTGGTGCTAGAGTAATCTAGAACTTCTTTCCTTAACCTAAAAAAACAACATAGAATACAAAGTGGGACATACCAATCCATTTAGATTCTTTATGTTATTTCTCCCCAGTGACAGGATCCTCAAGTTTTCTACAATGGAGAAAGAATTTATTTTAATAAATTGTTACTGTTTAATAAAGTAAGAATCTGTTCCAAATCTTGGAAAACTGCCTTCCAAGAACCATTAACATCCTAAACAGGCTGTACCAAGGAAAAAAAGATTGAATTTTATTAGTAGATGAGATTGAGTTTTATTACTAGATACTACACTTGATCTGAGCACATACAGCTTTTACTCAAATACAAGACAAAGTTTTTCCCCCAGTCAGCATGGGGAAAAAAGCTGTCATCTTATATTCACATATGAAGCAGAAAGGGGAGCAGGTTCCTGCTGCAGCTCTGACTCTGGCCTTGACCCCAGGTTGGGGGGCAGAGTCAGGCCCACACCAGTCCCACCCACTGCAGCTTCTGCCTTCTTGCCCCCTACTGTAAGGCACAGCTTGGCTCTGGCCTGGGCTGGGCACAGGGCATGGAACTCCTTCCTTTGGCTAGACAATAAGCAACGCTGACACTGCTGCATGGCCAGGCGAGAGCTGAGCTTCCATGTCAGCAGATCAGCTCAAACATCTGGCAGGAAAGGGGAGGTGGTCAGGGGAAAGAGGCAGAGACCAGCGAGGGGAAAGGCAGAGAGTGTGGGGAACTGGGGGTGGGGAGGTTGCAGGTAGCAGGGGAGCAAGAAGGCTGCCATGGGGAAGAAGTGAGCAGGGCAGAGGGCAAGGGTGGGGGGGTACATGACCCACCCCCCAGCCACTGCTTTCCCTGCTGTAGCAGTGGGAGGGGAGGCATGGAAGTTTCAAGGCAAACCTCTAATACTTAGACTGTATACCTGGAAAACTGTAACAAATTTATAAATTTTCCATATATAGAATCTAATTATGCAGTATTATAGTCAAGTATATGTGGTACTGTTCTATCTATGAATTGCAATGAACAGGTGGAGTGAATGCTTCAGAATGTTGTAAATAGATATAAAAGCTTTTATTCTGTAATTTGCCAATTCAACTTCAGTCCAGGTAGGTGTGGAACAAGATCTGCTCCTGCTCTAGTAATCCGTTACGACAAAGGTGGGCAATTATTTCA